TAATCAATTAGTTCAATTTGGGATAAATTCTGGGATTAAGACTTTAAAGGCTTGTTTGGAGCACCTGACAAAGAAGATGGCCTGTTTGGAGCACCTGACAAAGAAGATAAGATAGGATAACTTATCATATTTTACTTTTATCTTTTGTTTGGTGGGTCAATAGGATATAATTAGTTTATCCTATTGTCTTATTTTATCCTATCCAATACATGATTTCTTATCCTATGAGGGGATGTGAGTTAGGATTCAACAGGATAAGATATCAATATTGAATACCCAATATATCCCCACGCTATCCAATATATTTGTATTTATTGCATTATATTTTATTTTCTCCTTTCTCCTTCTACATAATCTTATCAGATTACTAATCAAGTGTTCATCAAACACAGGACATGATATAGACTTATTAGCCTCATATCATATTCTACATAAGGTCCCATATCATATCCTATCATGTCCATCAAACGAATATTGATGACATATATAGTGTCTGACGAAGGAGTTGTGCTATTAAAATTGTAGGTGATGTTTTCCTTCATGGTAGTTGTCGATTTAATAAACACAAGAAGGTTTACTGAGAGGTAGGAAGTAGGACCTATTTAACAAACCATCTGGTCCTCTCCCTGTGATCCACGAAGAGTAATATTTCATCTACTGTCTTATTTAACTATTTTTACTATTTTTTTCTTGCTTTTTCTTGTTTAATTCAGATGAGACTATTTTTGTGCAGTTGTAGAATTTGGATAAAGTCACCGACAAAATAGTTCGTCAATTGTGTGTATGTGGACTTTTATCTATGTATGTGTTACCAATAGTTGATTGAATCCAAGTACATTGGACATCTACCTGATAAACTAATAAAGTGAGCCATGCTTATATGGATACCATTGTGGTATTGGGTAGGGGACAGCAAGGACTTTTATCTATGCCTTCTCTATTTTCATTGAAATCATAAAAAAATGAAGAAAGTATTTAATGCAATCCATTAAAGCAATCAAAACATAGGTAGATATTAACTCACCTCCTGAGTCCTGACTTGCAGTGGGAAAAATTGTTTCCTTTTTGTTGTTTTTGGTTTTTGGTTTATTTGTTTTATTTTTAATGTTTGTGTTTTCAAACAATTTTCATTTTTTTAATATACGTAATATACAAGTCTGTTTCAAGAAAATATTTTGAAGGAGAAATTGATTCTATAACACCTTCATTCCATTTTCTTAATTAATGTAAATAAAATGGGGGTGGGAAACCATCAAAATGTGAATTATAAGTTTTTCTCTTCCGAAGACAACTTATGGTTTATATAAAGGGAAATAATACTCTTATGCTACATAAGAATATATCATTTTCCTACACTAATTCGTTTTCCGTGCCAATTAATTTTTTTTTTCTTTTTTAATATAAAATATGGGACCCACATTTAACTTCTCTCTACTTTTTTTATCTCCTACAATCCTACAACATAAGAAAACTTAAACCCTTATATAAATGATTGTCTATGGTCTAAAGGAGAGTAGAGTCCACTAGAGATAGAAACAATAATACTTTGTATAAACAATGATTCATGGGCTACGCATCACTAAATCCATCTTGTAGAAAAGGCCCAACCAATTCCCTTGAGAACAAAATATCCTTGGACTCTTTTTCATTTTCATGCAAACTCAAGAACAGATTAAACCGATTTTCCCATTAGTTTTTGATTCAATTTTCCTTCTGTAGTTGAAAATTCAACAATTAATAAAAATTAGAAAATTTTAATTCATGCAAATCGAAAACTGGAAAATCTTTTAAAAAAATTTCAAAAATTTAAAAGGTAACATTGTTCTGGACCAACGACATAGGTCCAATCCATTCGATCTGTTTCTAAAGCCCGTTAGAGGGATCACATTCCTACATCAATAAAGTAAGACAAATATCATTGTGCTTGTACACACGCACTTAATGCACTAAGTGAGTATGCTTAATTGTCTAACACCTAATGGGCCTTAACAGGGCATAATCGATTATGGCTCTATCATTATTAGGGAATCTTCTCCACCTATAAATATCATTTTTTCCATGGAAGATCATACTTATTCTCACTATGTCAAAATACAACCAAAAAACCATTATGCTCCACCATACTTTTCAATAGTGGTAAGTAGCATCGCTAAATCGCTATAGTAGCGGGTAGCGGTGGCCGGCCGCCACAACTAGCAACGCGACGTCGGCTGATAGCGGACGTGGCGGCGTAGCGTAGCAGCATTTAGAGGCAGAGAACACGACACTATAAGGACGCTACGAGGAAGATGACCTTTAAAAAAAATATTTGTTGCTCGTTCAAAACGACGTCGCTTTCTCTTTGAAATGTGGGTATTTTTGTGAAGCCAAAATTTTATTATTAAGGTCACAAACAAGGGACCAATTTCCACCAGAGACCATGCGCCAAAAAGAGGAAGAAGACGTGGCACTAAGAAGAGCTTGCCGAGAACGACATAGAGAGCTTCGAACATGCTTGTTTCTTTTTTCCTTCCTACTTCCACTCTTCTCCGACTAGAAAGCTTGTATTTTCTGGTAAGTTCCGAACATTTCGAGGCTTCTTTGTTCCTTCCTCCTTCCACTCCTCACTCTTTCTTTTATCTTCACTACCCATTCGTATTCTTATGTTTTGTTCTATGTAGTGTTATTTTTTAATTTGTGAGAAACTAAGAGTGGGGTTTTTCGAGAATGAGAAGAAGAGGTTTTGATGGAGGCTTCTTTCTTTCTTTCTTTCTTTGACTTATTTTAGTGCCACTTCTAGCTTTGGGTTTACTATATTTTTACACCTTGAAGAAGAGTAAAAATGATGGAGATTTTTTTATGGCAGGCTACGATGCATATTTTTTATTTCTGTGTATCAATACTCATGTTTATATGTTTAAATAAATAAAAATGTGGGGATTTCTTTTCCCTTGGTCAGTGATAAAAATGAAATTGAGGCAAAAGATTATTTATGAAAATATATTTTAGTATTTTGTGTTGTTTATAAATAATGGTAAGCTTCCCATTATTATTTGGTGTGTCAAATTGTTGGTGCTAAAGAGTCTGTCTAAAACAGTGACTATATCACGAGCCTTTATTTTTTTGTTTGGACCTTAATTGTTTCAGTTAACTCCATGGCTAGTGCATCTTTCGTTGAAGCATCACCTTCGGTTCCACAACAGAACATTGCACCTTGTGGTTTGTTTAAACCCATTGGAGATAACATTAATATTGCATGCCAATAGAATAGCTTGAAGGACCCCAACAACAGGAGATTCGTAACTTGCGATTATTGCCTGACAACTACCAAGGGAGGAATAACTAGAGCCAAAAGACATCAGATTGGTTTGAGTGGAGATGTTCATGCATGTAGAACAATTCCAGTTGATGTGAAAAAATACTGAAGGATGCAATATGTAGAAACAAACTGAGAATGATGCTAATATAGTTGATCTTGATGTCAATCAAGATGATGATGTAGAAGAGATGGTTGAAATTCATAAAATAAAAACTGGAAAAAAGGTTGGAAATGATGTCTATACCACTGCTACAAAGGCTACGAAAGGTCATTTAGATTTGCATTTTTTTAAAAGGCCTAGCATAAAGTTGGGCAAAAAGCAAACAAGTATAAATAATGCTTGCGAAAAAGAGGCAAGGGCAAGAACCATTCAATACATAAAAAATATTTTGTGTACAAATGGAATACCATTTAATGTTGTTTGCTCAAGAAGCTTCAAGCTGATGATTAAGGCTATTGGAAACTATGGTCCACATTTGAAGCCACCAAGCTACCATAAGTGTAGAGTTCATCTTCTTAAAAAAGAGATGGAGTATACAAAAGAGTTATTAAAGGATCATGAGATACAACGAGCCACTTATGGATGTTCGATTATGTCGGATGGGTGGACAGATAGAAAAAATAGGACCTTGATTAATTTCTTGGTAAATTGTCTATCAGGGACCATGTTCATGAAGAGTGTTGATGCTTCATCTTATGTTAAGATTGGGGAAAAAATATTTGAGCTTTTGAACATGCTTGTTGAAGATATTGGTGAAAGGAATATTATTCAAGTTGTGATGGATAATGAAAGCAATTACGTTTTAGCTTGTAAGACATCAAATTATTAATTTGTTAACTTGTTTTCAATTATTGTTAATTTGTTCTTGATTATTTCTTAGGAAAATATTTGCAAGTCAAGCGGCCAAATTTGTTTTGAACCCCATTTACAACACATTGTTTAGATTTAATGTTGGAAGACATTGCAAAGATTGAGAGATTAAGAGAGCCATTGGAAAAAAGCATAAGACTTGTAGGTTTCATATACAACCATTCATTGGCTTTGAACACAATGCGAAGGTTTACAAATAAGACTGAATTTGTAACACCCACTCTTGTACGCGTCCAAGAGGAATGTTATCTCAATGCTATTAGAGTGGTTTGCAATATTTAACTTATGTAAAGTCAATCCGGATTGAAAATAATTGAACTTCAGCTTAAAAGAATTTGAAAGCAGCGACCAAAAGTTTTAAAACGTTTACCCACGTCAGGAATTCCTATTCTGAAAACAGTCTGGTTTGCACGATTTATATAAAATTCCACAGAGCTCTAAAAATTGTGATTCTTTTTCTAAATTAAAGTAGACATCTCAAGCTTCAAGTACATAAAAATTTTGTTTGAAATGGACACCTGTAGCCACGGGAAATTAATTTTCAAAACTGATCAAAGTGCAGGATTTTCAGAAACGTTAATCAGGAACGACCGTTGTTCAAAAATTCATATAAAATCGAATTAAAGCCCAAATCTGAGTTTCATTCTTTTGTTCATTAGCTAACATCTATATCTAAAAGAATCTGAAGTTTCACGAAACGTTAAAGACATAAAGGTCGTGATAATGTTGTTATAACACAGACGTAACACTTAGCTAAAACCGTAAACAGCCAAATACTTGAGTTAAATATGGTTCATAAGTTCAGCTTCTCATGGAGCAAATTAACAGGAACATAAAGGAAACAGCAACCAAAGTGTCTTGCAAATAATACAAAAAAAATTCCAGCAACTTATCAAGTCCAATAATTTCCAAACAAAGAGCGCAAACAACCTACGTGCATCTCCCTTTAAACGCTTTTTCTTCCGCCTGCATTTTCATAGAAAATGAGCCCCCAAAGGGGGTGAGAATAACCCCAGTAATGCGGTAATTCATCCAATAGTGCAACATTATGGATTTAAATAAAGACTTGTCAAAGTGTAACATAAGGTTAGATGTTAGTCAAAACGCGTGTATAACGCCAAAACGCATGATCATAGCACAAGAGTGCACATGCTAACAAAACTCCAAGTGATATTCTTTTTGGCTCACAAAGCTGAATATCCAAGGAACCTATGCGCACGGAGCCAGGGTGCTCTTGCCGGGTACCTTCGGCATGCCTAAATGATGCATGCTCAAGCATATGATGGTTTTCAAAAGATTTTCCATTCTTGCTTCTCAAAATCGTGAAGACCATGATGCATGCAACAAGATAAAATCCTTTGCACACAATTAATTCAAGTGGTCAATGTATGTGATGCACATGCATGTCAAATCTCATATTCACAATTATAGTCACATAACTATAATAACCAAAACAGAATTGAGCCAACACGTAGGATCAATTATCCACAATGCTCAACATCACAAAAGGCACATATGTCACACACAAGCAATTCAATACTTAAATTCCATAGTCACATTAGGTTAAATCGCCAAGCACTTACTTAATCTCCGAGATACTTAACCAATAATGTCTTCAAATCAATGAGAGTTCCTAGGAGCTTGGGTACCTATTTATCATACCACAAAACAGAAAACTAATCATCCTCTTTACACTTAAGTGCTATGGTTTTTAAGCCCCCCATCAAGACACTTTCTTCTTTCAATTACTTGATTACATATTCCATAACTTAAGATGGTTATTTCATTCTCTTATACATGCTGTCCCATACGTATAAAAACACCAAGAAAGCTTATTTATATTCTGTTTATAAGAGCAATGTTACAAGAAGGTTTACCAAGACTTCCAATCCACCAAACTTTGATTTTATAAGAGGAAAAATAGAATTTTAATAATGGTTCCATACAGTCATGAAATCTTCGATTTTTTTAAGGACTAAAAACAGAACTAAGTCTAGCAGTAACAGCCACTAATTTTTGACTTTTAGTCCACATGCAATTAAAGATAACAAGGATAAGGTAGAAAGAATTAACCCTACCCATAACCCCTCATGAAACCGAAACTTTGAAGGAGAGAAGAAAAGAATACTTACTTGTTCTAGGCAAGGCTATACTAGGATACTTTGGAATGAAACTTGAGAGCTTAAAGAGGTTGTTTTCTTAGAGCAATAAGTCCAAGTTGCCGCTACATGCAAGGGAAAGTTCTTCCTTAGAACCGAAAAGAAAGGTAGGGCGGGTCAAGGAGATAGAGGAATATGGATTACCTCCTTGATGATGGGAAACCGAGGAAGAAAGGAGAGATTTCTGTCTTCAAAGCTTGATTATCTTCTTTGCTTGTACGGCTGGAGTTTAGCACAAGATTAATGAAGGAAGGAGCTTGAAAGGGATAAGGTATCTTACCTCTCTTGCTAGCGCACAAGAGAGGAGGAGTAGTGAGGTTTAATTTTTCTGATTGATTGCTTGTGTTCTAGCGGCAGAAATGAGAGAATGTGAAAGAGTTTGAAGATGAAGTGTGATGGTTGTGTATTTCTCTGCCTACTTAAGCGCATAAGGAAGAGGAAGGGTAGTAGAGTAGTGTTCAAATTTTTAAAGCTGGTCACACGGGTTCAGCGCTTTTGGAAGGGAGAAATAATGAGTGGTCCAATGGTGTTTCATGCAATAGAAAAGGGTGCAGATTTTTCAGATTTGTTTTCTCTACAAGATATCAGAATTTTGAAGGAAATGAAGCTACTTTTTCAGAGTTAATTTGACAGCCCATGACAGCCCCTTTCTTGTGATGATAGGCGCAAAAGAGGGCAAAAGGTAGGCCACACAATGCCATGCAACCATTCAGCCATTTACTTAGTATTTTGATTTAAATTTTTCTATAGTTACTTAGATGATCGAGGCTTCTTTTGGGCTGATTGAGACTTAATTTTTTTTTAATGGGCATAAGAGGTTAGTCTTAAGGTTCAATTCAAATTTTTAAACACATGAATATATTACTAGAACAAGGTTAGGGCCGAAGCCCACCAAATAATCTCCACTAATGTTTATTCATTTATTTTATTCATGAGCAATTACAGTTGTATTTACGATTAGTGAGAAAAATTCCTATCGTACTTAATTCAAGAATTTCGATCAAGTAATTCATATACATACACATGTTTCCTTAATCATGTTCAAGTAATTTGTGAACTTTTACGGGTTGTTACAGAATTGGTTAGGCATGGAGTCACAAGGTTTGCTACGACATTCCTTACATTGCAAAGGTTGCACAAACAAAGAAAAAACCTTAGGAACATGTTTATTTCTAAGAATTAGGAGAATTCGAAGGCAGCCAAAGACCTTAAGGGAAAAATGGCAAGAAGGATCGTACTTATACCTGCCTTTTGGAATGATGTTTTTTTTCTCACTTAAGGTTATAGGGCCTCTTATGTGTGTGCTTAGACTTGTTGATAATGAGAAAAAACCTGCAAACGGATAGGGCCAAGGAAGCAACTCAAAAATCATTGGGCGAAGATGAACAAAAGTACAAAGACATATTTGCTATCATTGATAGAAGATGGGAATGCCAACTTCATCATCCTTTGCATGCAGCAAGCCATTATCTAAATCCTGATTTCTTTTATGGCAATGATTCAATTGGAAATGATAGAGAAGTGATGGCTAGCCTTTTCAAAAGCATTAAGAGGGTAAGTGAAAATAAGGAAGAATATGATACAATTACAATGCAATTGGAATCATATAGGACTGCTGAAGGCCTCTTTGGTATCAAGTCAACAATAAGGAAAAAGGATTTTATTAGCTCCAGGTATGTAAACATGAATTTCAAGTTATTAATTATATAGGAATGCTTAAGACATCTTTATTGTTATTATATAGGACTGCTGAAGGCCTCTTTATTGTTATTAATTATTAATGCTAAGTTGCTAATAATAAACACTTGTTATGGCATTATAGCTCAATGGTGGAAGTTGTATAGCTCTCAAACTCCAAATTTGAGAGACTTTGCCATTAAGGTGTTGAGTTTGGCTTGTAGCTCATCCAGGTGTGAGTGCAATTGGAGTACTTTTAAACACGTAATATTTTCTATATAGTTACATTTGATGTATAGGTTGTGAAGCAAATAAACTAATATTTTTTATTGTTAATTAGGAAATAGATTCATTCCAAAAAGAGAAGTAGGCTTGAGCATCAAAAGTTACAGGACTTGGATTTTATTAAGTACAATCAAGCTCTTAAACATCGCTATGACAATCATGATGTGATTGATCCCATTATCCTAAAAGACATTGATGATAGCAATGATTGGTTGGTGGGAGAAGTGGGTGAAGATAATGCTGAAGACGGTAATGTTTTTTATGATGATACTTTGACTTTGGGAGTTGTTGCTAATGCAAGTAGGGTTGGAGAGCCTATAACATACACAAGGAAGCAAACAAGAGGAACAAGAATGGTTAACCAAGTTGTACCTATTGTATCTAGGCCTTTAATTTCAAGCTCTAGAGGGCTGGCAGTGATGAATGAAGTTGATGATGAAGAAATTGTTGATGAGGAAGAGCACATCTATAAGTTTAGTTCAAGTGAAGATGAAAGTGAGGGAGAATATTTGTTGAAATTTGATGGAGAATCCGAAGATGATGATTTTTTTCATCAGTTCACTTGTATTTGATTTGACTATATCACTTTGGCAGTATAGTTTATCAACTTTTTTGGATACAAGTTTGTGCACTTTTTTTATACAAGTTTGTGAACGTCTTTGGATACAAATTTGTGAACATTTAATATAACGAATAGTTTCTCGAATTTTATTGACTATTTCACTTACAGCTCCCAAAGCATACTGAACCATGATGTTAAGAATATTTTGTTGCATATCACATATCAAATAATTGACCATTACAATAAAAACTTGTTCGGAAAATTATCAATTGGCTGCTCCAATTTACTATTCACATTTACAACAAAAAAATAAAAAAAATAAAAATTTAATATTCACAAGGTTAAGGGCATCATCTTTGTCTGGACCTTGATTTACATTGAAATTTGCAATTGCAAGAGTCCCTTCCTTTCTCTTTTTTTCTTCTTCTAGCTGTAATGTATTATTGTGTTATGCCATGGTTATACCTTCTCTAACACCTGATTAAATGGTTCCTTAGGTGTGATATTCCATTGATAATTGATCCGCTCAATTTCTTTTTACAATGCCTACAAACAGTCACAAAGTATAATATATGTATAATAAGTACACAATAACATTATGCATGACATATATAACTAGAGCATGGGTGGACTGATGGTCAGAGTTGGGCATTTATATTTGTGCAGTATTAGACTGTTAGTATAATATATGTGGCATTCATACTTCACCGTAGTGGCAATACCGCTGCCCGTTACACTGCTATACCATTTTAGGGGTCAGCCTCTAACTGCTATTGGAAACTATGTGCTCTATACTCTTTCCTTAATTCTTAGCTCCCACTTGAGATTCACTTATTGTGACTTTTTTGTTGAGTTTAGTTCCATACCTCTGTCTCACTAGACTATTGTTACATTAACATACTACATCATTTAGGAAAAACACAAACAGTTTTGATACTAACCAAAGATTTTTTTATGTATAGAAATTGGAAACAAAAAGAGAGAAAAAATACAAGAGATTTACTGCACATATTGTGTAACACTCCAATTCAGAGTTGACATGCCACACTTAAAAAAAGTATGGAACACACAAAATATAGTCATCCGTTACCATAAGGCTAAAAGTCAATAACACATTACAATAGATCCAAGGCTGTCCAAGGTTATAAAATTTCAATTGCATTGTTTTCCGAGTTAACTTAACTACATACAAAATCTACAAGATTTCATACATAACGTTCAAACAAAACAGCATCTAAGCAAAATGCATCAAGCACTTTTCGGGTCCACCTGTTGATCCTTTTTACCTAAAATGAATCCCATGAAATGGGTGAGATGCAAATCTCAATAAGTACCTAGGAAGACAACTCCCTATTCTAGACCAAGTAAGCCTGGCCAGATACCTAAGTGGTTTTTGAAAGTTTTGACACATACACCTACAAAGTCAGTCCCCCATGTATATAGTTGCATTAATTATAATTCAGCAATATAACAATTTATCATCAACTAATCATTTGAGAAACTCAAATGGTAAACAAATACATAAACTGTATTGCTTTGTGCCTCAAGAATAAGCTATTGTATGTGCATTTTGTGCACTAGTTGACCTGTATGTAAATTGAGCTCAAGATACAGTGAGGAGTCCCTCACGAGTGTCAACTAAACTACTACTATATCATAGGATACATCAACCAAAACTAAGTTAACTATATAAATAATTCTTCTTCTATGGAGCACATCATACAATCTGTAACACTTTTGTAGCTGTATACATATAAGCAGTATCAAAATTGAATTAAAATCAACATTGTATAGCTTAAGTGAAGATTTTGGGTTTCTATTCTATGAAATAATCGATTACCATCAGGGAGTAATCCATTACTTCTCCCTCAAGTAGCTGATTACTTGAAGGCAGAACCCAAATTTTTGAACAAAACTTCCATATCTTTCAAAATCATAAACTTTTTTTTTCTACCAGTGGTTCTAACTCATCAATACATGCCCACAATGTACCCAAAAAATGGTTTTATAGTATATAACAAGTGAATTTAGTCAATTGATTCCTAAAACACTCTACCCCTATGCATGAAGGGAAAAACTTAAAATCATGCATCACAATATGTCAGTTACCATCAAAACACACATTCAACCATTCTAGATTCTATGCATGCCATCAGAATTGAGTTTTCAGGGACAGGAAAAAGAGTGTCTCTACTAGGTACTTACTTGGTGTGTTCCTTTCATAGTTTTGATCTTTTTCTTCAAAGTGAGAAATACAATCCCCTCTTTTCCCCCCTCTTTTTTTCCTACCTAATTGTAACAATGACGAAGTCACGATGAATTCTTTGTTCTGTAAATTACTTGTTTATTTCTTTGATCATATTACCTACACGTTTTCAGTGTAAACTGATCATGTTTCTCTAACATCTACAAACAAGAAGAGGATTAATTTGAGTATATTTTTTATCTAGTATATTAAATCTAAATAAACGATCCATATTCATAAATTATTAATCTTCAATACCAAATTTGTGTTTTAATAAATTAAATTATCATGATCATGTTAATTATCTCATCAATATCATATCATATATTAAAGTTTCGCACAAATGATATGAGGTATATCAAATGTAAAAAGTACACAACTTATTATACTTGGGAACCTTGCTACTGCATTATATATATCTTATTCGGAGGGTGTAAATGAGCTAGGCTGGATTGAGCTTTGACTCAAATAGGTTAAATTTGTGTAAAATACTTTAGGTCTGACATAATCTGTTAGCCTGTTAAGCCCAAATTATAAGTATGACATGTTCTATATTTAAAAAACAAAAGTCTTGGTCTAAGTTTGTTAGCCGTTTAAGCTTATTAGACCTTTAATAATTTAAAAAAATAATAATATTATTTTATTTTTAAAATTATTAAAATAATAATTTTATTTAAAATAATAAAATAATATAGACCGGCCTGTAGGGTTATAGGCCCGATAAGTAAAAGAAAGTCTATCTCCTACTTTCTAAATATGCTTTTTAAAAACATGAGCCTATTCTATTTGTCTAGGCGTAATAGGCTAAACATAACCTGATATAAATGAGTCGTAGGCTCGTAGTAGACTGTCTGTCCCATTTACATCTCTACTTCGGAGGAAATAAGTTAGATTTTAAAAAATAAATAAAAGTATGATAATTATTGATAGATTGAATAATGGATTTAAGGTGAAGTATAAAGAAGTTTTTACTAGAAAAAAAAAATAAGAAATCTGATTGATGAAAGATATAAATATTGGACAACAAAATAACAAAAAAAAAAAAAAAATTTATTACTTATTAAACCAAGTTAAAAAATATTAAAAAAATAAAAATAAAAATAATTATTGATAGATTGAATACTGGATTTGAGGTGAAGTACAAAGAAGTTTTTTCTGAAATCAAAATATCAAATGATATAAATTGGACAATAAAATAACACTAAAAAATAATATAATTTTTTTATTAAACCAAGTTAAAAATTATTGAAAAAAATAAAATAATTTCTATCCATTTATTATCGTAATTTTTTTATTTTTTTTATAAACATCGTAATTTTATTACTCTTAAGATAATACACAACATAAAAAATATTAAATAAACTTTACTTTTACTCTATTTATAAATAGGCTTGTCTATTCTCGTGTTATAGAGTAAATACATATCGGTGGGGCACACTATTTAAAATTAAAAAGATACACTACAATTTTTGAAGAGTTGTAGGAAGGAAAACCATTTTTCTACGATACGAGAGTATTTTTTCCTTCTATAAATATCAGAAAATCTTTAATAACAACATTAAAAAAAAAAATGTCTTACGATGAACTTAAATATTATTCAATTACCCACGACAAGGAGTCGCCTCTATGCAATCTCCACGTGTCAAAACGAGAGCCAAAGGTGATAAATATCCTCCATTGTTCGTTAAAATCTTGGAGTGTTCTAAGAGCAGGTTGAGGATGAACACACCCAACAACACTCAACAGTGAACAGTGAACAGTGAACAGTGAAGGACCATGACCATGATGAGTGGAAGAGCTCTTGTTTTCTCTTTCTCTCCTCCTTCAACTTCATCCTCCTCCATTGCACTTTCACGCAGAAACCATTTCAACCATCTCAACCATGCAACTTCAACTTCTTCTTTCCCTTCACTCTTCCCCTTACACTTGCTGTCACGGCGGAGCTGCCTTGTTTTCCGGTTTTCCGGCGAAAGGGGCGGCGGAAAGGTGTGGGCAGATGTCAAGTCCGAGAAGCACGTGCCTGAAGATGTTGTCCTTAAGAAGGCACGTGGTTTGGATGATGTGGAAGCAACTTCTTCAACATGGTTCCCCAAAAGATGGGTCATTGTGATTCTCTGCTTCTCAGCGTTTCTTCTTTGTAATATGGACAGAGTAAAGACCCTTCTTCCATTTCTTCTTTTAAATTGCATTCTCTCTTTGAAAGTATACATTTTTTGTTAGTGTGCTATTAGAAGCTTTTGTAGTCATGATTAGTTTTCATTGGTAACTGAAGTGAAGTGTAATTGAATAAACCCAGTTCATAATTTTTGTTTTTTGAACTCTCTGAAAGCATGACCATATTCTCTTGAATTGGCAACTAATGAAATGTTAATTACTCAATGCTTATGCATGGGAACCTTTTCTCAAATGCTGGTTTTTTGTTGTTGTTGTTGTTGATGTGTTTGTTAAATGCCAATGGTTTTCACTTTTCAATTGCTGTACTGCATCATTCACATTTTCCCCCAATTGTCCCCGAGTTATATAATTGCAACGAAATTGCAATTTAAAACCATTATACTAAATCTAATTAGATGTTAAATTTCATCCACTTTCAAAATATAAATTTTTATTCTTTGCCAACAGGAAAGAATGTGTCTCATCATTGTAGTCAAAAAGATATTTGACCTGTAATAGAAACTTTTAAGAGTTTTCCTAAAGAGTTATATTATAAATTCGCGGTTTATTTATTTATATATGAAAATACAGAATTTAATACGAAATAATGTGTCATCCTGATATCAGGTTAAATGTAACAACTTCTGATTTATTTGCGTTATGTTGAGATATATAAAACCATTAACGTAGCCTCACCCAACAACTTAAGCTTTTGGGTTGAATTGGTTCTTTACATGGTATCAAAGCTTCGTGTCCCGGGTTCAAACCTCATCGCCCCCCACTTTCTTTCCGGTGGAATTTCTTTCTTCGCACAGGTAGGTGGGCCTGTGCATTGTCCACTCTTAAAGCCCAATGGGCTCTCGTGTGAGGGAGGTGTTGAGATATATAGTCCCACATTGGTTGTATGAGCAACTAATGTGGTCTTTATAAGACTTTGGTCACTCCCACCCTTTGAGCTAGCTTTTGGGGTGGTGTATCTCAAGGTTTTTTACACGTTACAAATGTTAGCTTTCAAATATAAGAATCTTGGGGTAATTGGATGGTACCTGGATCTTATGCAACACATCCTCTTGTATTGAATTATGTTCGATAATTTTTATTTTTAGGATTTTCTTTCTAAACATGTGTCATCACAGGGTATACTGCATTAAATCCATGTATTTATGGTTATCATGGAAAGAAGAAAAAAAAAGATCTTATGATTCAATTTGAAGACCATTGATTAGTACTGCTATGGCTGACATTGAAATGTTTAAGTCTTCAGGTGGCTTTAGCTCTTAGAAACTTCCATCTATTTCACATTTGCAGGTAAATATGAGCATTGCTATACTTCCTATGTCAGCAGAATACAACTGGAACCCCAGTACTGTAGGTTTAATACAGTCTTCTTTCTTTTGGGGATACCTCCTTACTCAGGTAAATGTGTTTTCATTTTGATAAACCTAAGTTTGATTAGTAACTTTTGCCTGCTTGTATGAATTTGAACTAGAGGCCATGACTCTGAGTCATAGTTCAATATTTTTTGCAGATTGCTGGTGGAATATGGGCAGACACAGTGGGGGGAAAACAGGTATTGGGATTTGGCGTCGTTTGGTGGTCCATTGCAACAATCCTAACTCCAATAGCTGCTAAACTTGGGTTGCCTTTCCTATTAGTTGTTCGTGCATTCATGGGGATTGGCGAGGTCGGTTATACTAAAATGCTCTAAACAATATGCTTTCCTGCTTTCTACTAATAGGACAAAGCTTGCAATTACTATGTTGTTGGCATAAGAAATTATCTAATGAGTAAAAAATTGAAATGTTCTTTTGTTTTGATCAATATTATCACTGATTTAAGTAATGATTTGATTTATCTAGTTGGTGATGATGCAGTATGATAATTTTTTTTGGGTCTTTCTAGGGTGTTGCTATGCCAGCCATGAATAATATTCTGTCAAAATGGGTTCCGGTGGCAGAGAGAAGTAGGTCACTAGCACTGGTCTATAGTGGCATGTACCTTGGATCAGTCACTGGACTGGCCTTTTCACCTTTCCTAATTCATCAGTTTGGATGGCCATCAGTATTTTACTCCTTTGGTTCTCTAGGGACTGTCTGGTTGTATGTGTGGCTTAGTAAGGTGAGATTTGCCCGTGTAAAATTATTTCCTTTGCATAGATGCTTCCTTTCTGAACTTGGAAATATTTGTACACACATTTTCTTGACAGAAACTCTTTGGCTTGAAGTTGATTCTTTACTATGAATTTTCTGACTGCAACATTTTTTTGTTTCTGAAAAGTTCACCCTATCTTAATAGCATTTTCTATTTGCTCATGTGCTAAGTTCTTCTGGGAACTGTAGGCACACAGTTCACCTCTTGAAGATCCTGAACTGCGGCCTGAAGAAAAGAAGTTGATTACCGCGAACAATTTTTCCAAGGAACCTGTGAAAACAATACCTTGGAGATTAATTTTGTCAAAAGCACCAGTCTGGGCTCTGATAGTGTCCCATTTTTGCCACAACTGGGGAACTTTCATTCTTCTTACGTGGATGCCAACATACTATAACCAAGTAAGTCTTTATATTTCTTTTGGCATATTACATAAGTACATGATATGGTGCAGACAGAGCTAGATCCATGCCCATCTTTTTGGTTTTACTTCGTACATGGTTGTATGTGAATTTCTTTAGAGACAAAGTTGCCTATACCTATATGCAAGAAAAAGTACTTAAAGGAACCATGTTCCAGGTAAAATATGAGACAATGGACAGGGAAGGGGGGAAGCTGGTTCTGTAACCTGACTGTGAAGTAGGGAATTATGCAAATGATCTTAATAATATGAGGAAAAGGGAATAAAGAGAGGAGAATAAGAGATCGTGTGTATCATTTGGTTCTCATCATTTAGCTATAGTTCATGGTCTCAGAATCCTTTTTTTTTTTCTGCCATTTTATCATGACTTATGCATGTTTAGTGCTGGGTGATGTGGGTTTTTTTTTTTTTAAATTCATTTAAGGTTAATTTTGTTTAATTCTGATTATTAGGATTATTCATTTGGGGATTACTGGTATTAATGTATATTTAGTGTAACATAAATGTGATGCTATTTCTTTGTTCTTTTATTTGCTTGCTGATGCTTTTGATTTTTACTGCCTGAAGCATTTTCGTTAATTCATATATTATCTTCTCCTGAAACCTTAATCTTTCTATTCCTTTTATTATCTTCTAATCATTCCATCTTATTCTCTTGTTCAAACTATCTTACCTGATAACAACATGATTTATTGCAATAAACAGTTATCTCATTCATTCTTTTTTATTTATAAACATTTGATGTCATAGAATTCAGTATGTGAGCATGCTTGCTGATATTTAGCATTTTAGCATCCGACTTGACATATTTGTCAAGCTACAGCTCTCAGTATTATCAAAATTGAAGCTTATAGAGTTCAGCTTTTTATCAAAGATATGTTAATATCTTGATATATAAAATATATTGATTTGTAATCTCTTTGAATACTTGGAAAAGAAAATGACACAGTTTAAAGTTAACTAAAGTTTTTTCGAATATAATCCTAGGTCTTGAAGTTCAATCTTACAGAATCTGGGCTATTTTGTGTTTTACCGTGGTTTGTAATGGCTCTTTCTGCAAATTTTGGTGGTTGGATTGCAGACACTCTAGTGAGCAAGGGTATGTCCGTTACAAGGGTTCGCAAGGTATCTCCCTTCAATCATTTTTATTTTTTTCAGTTTTTCTTATGTCTTCTTGGAAAAATAGTTCTTTACATAAGTTCCTGACCAACTTCCTTTATATGAAGGGCTACGAAACTATTGTCTATCCTTTAATTCTATGATAATAAAACAATGAAAAAAAAATTAATCTCTAGTTTTGTTGACAACGTTTCTTTGCAAATATTTCTTAATAATATTGAAACTAGCTTCAAAATCTTTTCTACAAAATTTGGAGACAGATCTCCTTTGCATTCTCTATCCTTAAGTATCTAGCAGCCTAGTATTTTCTGAACTCAATTCCATTGCTACCAGGTTATCTATCAGCTTCACAGTATAGTTCTACATTTTCTTTGCAGATAATGCAAACAGTTGGGTTTCTTGGCCCTGCGTTCTTCTTAACTCAATTGAGCCACATTAATTCTCCCGTGATGGCTGTTCTGTGTATGACATGCAGTCAGGTTTGCTTCTTGTTTTGTATTTAACATTTTTTTTTCTGACAAGGAAGTCTCTCTGTAATCCTAACATAAAGTCTGTTTATGTTTGTGTCCCTCCTTTGATATTTCTGGAGAAAGAGTTACTTCTAGTAAAATTTCTTAAATTTGAGTATCACTCTAATAATTTTATCATGGTTTTTAGTTCATACTGCATAATCTGTGAATTTCTCCGGCAAAGATAAATTTTCTTGACAGTAGTGTCTTGGGAACTTCTCTTAAGACAACATAACTATACATTTTCTTTGTGCTAGCTCTTCTCATAAAAATTAGAAACTGTTGGTTCATCCATTAAGCTTTCTCTTTCCTAACTTGTTATAAATTCTTCCTGTATAGGGAACTGATGCATTCTCTCAGTCCGGTTTGTATTCAAACCATCAGGATATAGGCCCTCGATATTCAGTAAGTGGATTCATTGTACACAGATTTTTCCTGCAACATGGAACTTTTTATATTTGATATGTGGAATAAGAGCGGGACAGCTTTTTTTTTTTTTGTATGCTAATTCATGGCCATCTAAAATTATCTTCTTACCATTAATTGGTTAAATCATTATGTCATTTGGGAAGGAAAGAAGGTTTCTGTATTTATTTCCTATTTTTCTCCTCAGGGGATACTTCTTGGTTTGTCTAATACTGCTGGAGTACTGGCTGGTGTCCTTGGAACAGCAGCAACAGGTTACATTCTTCAGCATGGTAAGTATTTGTTCCTCATAATTTCTTAGTCACTGAATGTCAATGATCAATTATCTTAAAACATTAAACTGTTAGGTGAAGGATCATTATATCTCTTAATACTGAAGATTGAGTATAGGGTTGTATTGTGCACAATTTGAAGATTCTCAGTAAGCCTTTAGGTTTTGATACATTGACACTTTATTTCTAGACTATGGGCCAAAACTATTTTGCTTATTTATTTATTTTGGAGCAATTGCATGGTTCTTTATATCTCCACTTTGATGGTGAGAGTGGAATGGATAGATTCACCAAGTTTACTTCAGTTGTCATGTAAATTAGTAAAATAAAATAAATTCAATGCTGTTTTTGTTCAATGGCCTCGAAGTTTACCTGGTTAAGCAATGTTGAAGCTTTGTAAGCAAGCATGAGTTTAGCTTAGGTTCATCCTAGCATGGCTTCTCTTCTCTTCCTAGGTTGTTGGGACTGAACACAAACCCACACGCTATCACAAAATAGTAAAGAGAAAAAGGGGGAAAACTGGATACAAAGAATTTACCCCGATTCACCCAATGTGGGCTACGTCCAACAATATTCATTCTATTTTCCTCATCGCACTCGTTACAACACTGGTTACGAGAAAAATATAAATAGGCTTAGAAACCTTAAGCAACAATAACTATTCATGGGTCTAAGCCCAAGAAAAAGAAAAAAAATAAAATAAGTCAGAGGCTTACAACAATACCATGTCTCTACTGTCCAAGGCCGTTTCCCCTACACCCCTACAAGGGTGGCTTCCTCGGACCCCCCCGCCAAGAAGAGTCATTATCTAAATACGAAGTATGAGTCATATCCAACATAAGTGAACATTTATTCCCAATTCTTCACATTAAATGGAGATTGGCTTTCATGCAATCAAAGTTCAATCACTTTAGTTGATTTTGGAAATTTGACACCCACCCTCCTGGTAAAGCTGTGGGGCACTCTGATGCAAAATTATAGGGAAAGTAGGCTTTCAGGAAAATGCAGAAGTTTTCTGCTATACTATTATTCTTTAACAATCAAAAGTCCCTCTTTCACATCCTTTTAACAAGCCTTTTAATCAGGCAATACAAAAAGTAACTGACAATAAAGGACCATCAATGGTCTTAAAACTAATACAAAACGGAAATAGCCATAAACCAAACATAAAGTCATGCAAACTGAAACGTCTGCAATTATTAAAATTATAAAAGGCCTTAAAACTAAAACGTCTGCAATTATAATAACTTATGGTGACTCAAGTGCATCATCCTCCCCCGCTACGAAAAGATTCGCCCTCGAATCTGGGTCGTCTTTATTGACGTCAACTTCAGGTGGTAATCCAGGCGGCAATTCTTCTGGCATTACATCTGTGAATTTTGTCAGTTTTAAAATTTCTGACTTGGACAACAAAGAATTCTTTGCTTCCTTCCTCCAATCTGAAGGTGCTAGTGTAATAAGGTAACCATCCTTTTTGAAGGTGTAAGTATTTTTGAAACCAACATATTTTGCCTTCCCATCAAATTGCCATGGCCTACCTAATAAAATGTGACAAGCATCCATAGGAACGACATCGCACCATACCTCATCTGAATATTTTTTCCCAATTGAAAAACACACGAGGCATCTTTTGGTTACCCTCACCTCATTTCCTTTTTTTAACCAAGACAGCTTATAAGGTTGTGGGTGTGCTTCTGTTTTTAGCCCCAATTTCAATTTTTCTACCATAGTAGTAGAAACAACGTTTTCACAACTCCCTTCGTCTATAATCACACTGCATGCTTTTCCCCCGCTGGTGCACTTGGTGTGGAAAATGGTATGCCGAAGCCAAGTTTCATCATTCACCAAATCCTCATTCAAGACTCTTCGAGTGACTAGTGATTCTCCGGTATCAGTATAGACAATTTCTACCTCTTCAGATTTTGTTTCTTCTTGTTCATCTACATTGTCATAGATTGGTTCTTCATCAAAAATTGGAGCATCTGCAAACGTCACAATCTGTTTATTTGGACAATCTGCAGCAAAATGTCCAATTCCCTGACACTTGAAACATCTCTTCCCTACACTACTTTCTTTACTCGACCCTTCCTTGTTGGGAATATTTTTTTGAGGCATAGAACCCCTTTCAGCAGGTGAAGTTGCTGATAAACTCACTGATTTAGCTCCGAATTCCTTTCTAGGAAATCTTGATTGAAACTTCGAACTGTCACCCTTTCTTTTACATTGTCCTTCCACCTTCAAGGACAATTTGCACACATCTTCATAAGACCAATACTGTTGTAGGTACACAACATCAGAAATTTCATCCCGCAATCCACCTAGATATCGAGCAATCACTTGTTCATCTTCTTCGACCATGTCACAACGCATTCGAAGACGATCAAATTCAGTGGTGTATTGTTCCACCGTAAGGTTACGTTGCCTGAAATTGTGATACTCAATAAAAGGCCTCTTGTCTGTATTGAGCAGGCAATAATTTGTGGTGCAACAATTTCTTCATTTTGTCCCATCTTTGAATCTTAGACTTTCCGTCTCTGATTCTTTGTTTCTTGACATGTTCCCACCAGATTGAGGCATGCTTCCTCAATTTGATTACTACTAATTTCACCTTTTGCTCATCTGTGAGGTTTTTTAAATCAAAAACCCTCTCGACGGTGTGTAACCAGTCGATGAATACGTCAGGGTGAGTTGATCACCGGTTCGACCTCTCCTTGGTCTTTCGCGGTTCCAAAATGGATTTTTATCCTCCTCTTCCTCTGGAGATGACAGTTCAGATTCCTGTCTCCCTTCTGACCCGTGCAACTGTGCCTCTGCAAGCAGTTGTTCGAGTTCTTGGATCCGTCTGTCCTTTTCTTCAATTTCAGCATCTCTCGCATCAATATAATAATCGTCATCGGTAGGTTGACCGTGTCCTCTGCCGTCACGACCTCTTCGTCCACGACCACGACCTCCGTGATTTTCCATCTCAGCCATCTTTAAGGCAACCTGAGCTCTCGCATCAATATAATAATCGTCATCGGTAGGTTGACCGCGTCCTCTGCCGCCACGACCTCTTCGTCCACGACCACGACCTCCGTGATTTTCCTGCTCAGCCATCTTTAAGGCAACCTGAGCTTTGATACCAAATGATGCAAAATTATAGGGAAAGTAGACTTTCAGGAAAATGCAGAAGTTTTCTGCTATACTATTATTCTTTAACAATCAAAAGTCCCTCTTTCACATCCTTCTATCAAGCCTTTTAATCAGACAATAACAAAAAGTAACTGACAATAAAGGACCATCAATGGTCTTAAAACTAATACAAAACGGAAATAGCCATAAACCAAACATAAAGTCATGCAAACTGAAATGTCTGCAATTATTAAAATTATAAAAGGCCTTAAAACTAAAATGTTTGCAATTATAATAACTTATTGTGACTCAAGTGCATCACACTCTCTCTAGCATAATTCCATGTGCTTAATAATTCATTGAAATCTGATCTTTGGGACAAGAATCTGATGCTCTGTATCCTGTTCTTTACATTACACTTAGATTAGTCAATTAAAGTTTCAAATCACTATTGTTGATTTTGGAAATTCGGCACCCCCTGGTAAAGTTGTGGAGCTCTCTCTGTAGTGTAATTCCTTGTGCTTAATACTTTATCGAAATCTGATCTTTGGGACAATAATCTGATACTATTCTTTCTCTTTGATTATTATCAGGCTCTTGGGATGATGTTTTCAAGGTTTCAGTTGGGCTGTATTTGGTTGGAACTGTGGTGTGGAACCTTTTTTCAACTGGTGAAAAGATCCTGGAGTAACTTACTGTTACTGATAATTGGTACTTGTCATGGTAGATGAATCTTGAGTATTTTCCCACAGAAGGACTACGAGAAGAAAAGGAGGTTTAATGACAAAGCAACTCATTTTACTTGGACTTTTGAGCCTGACAAAATGGTAAATTTTGTGGAAAGAGCATTGAGCATATAGATCAAAGGGGTGTCAGGTGTCCTTGAAAGATGCATTGGCATAGTTTAATCCCTGATGTTTTATCAAGGGAGAAGGTTTAGATTTTGCTCTCTTCTTTCTCTGCTTTTTTCTCATTTTTGGTGGGAATATCACATTAGTTGCTTGATTTAGCATCATACATGTAAATATAATTTTCACACCAACACATCAATTTTGTGACAATTAATCAAGAAAAGTTATTCATGAAGTATTGCTCATCAAGCTTCTTTTTGTCTCCAATTTCTTATCTGCCTGTTTTGCTTGCATCCTTTGGTCAAATAAGTTGGTAACATGAGTGCTGCTGACTAAATGCTGTATAATGAAATGAACAGATGAATGCTTCTCATTTTTAACTTATGGACACCGACTGATATTTTCTCTCTTTTTGAGGGGCTTGGGATAGAGGGTTGGTTTTCATTGCATCACTCTTGTACAAATCTTGATGCTTGTCCACCCCTTTTGTGATACAAATTTTACATTTACATTATTGTAATTCCTGTGCAGGAGAGTCTTTTACAATAGTAATTCTTACTTATGTACTTTTTATCATGGTTAAAATCCACTTCTTATTAAACCCCGATTAGAAAGGATAGGGTGAGTACAATACTTGTATACCGCCCTTCCTTTGCATAATTGCAAACAGGTTATTCAAACCCGTAACTTTTCAGTTACAATAAAACGGTTTTACCACCACTCCAGGCTCGTTGTCTTGGTTACTTTAATTATTTTTTAATATGCCCTATTTAACGGTTTGTGTATTTTACACATTTGGTACGTCCTCAATGGGGGGCATTTAGTTTCACAAATTTATCCCCGCGGAACTTGTTTTATATATTTTTTAATTTTTTTAATGAGTTCCATGGATCCCATTGGGAACTCAATAATTTTTTATTTTTTTTATTTCCCGCTTTAAGTTTCAAGGACCCCCTTAGAACTCACAGATCGTGCAACATGGTGTGACCTCAACCTTCCAAAGTCCTTAACTCTTAAAATACTATTTTCTTTTTTCAATTTAGATGAGTACTTTGTTATGAGAGGACACAACGCTCGTCAAGAAATAATAGCTAGCAATCGTTACTGTAAGGTGCTACTTGATGCGATGCAAAATAACCAGGATGTTGCATCTACCCATGTCGCTCGCAATTATGACCATAATTCAAATAGGTTTGAGGTTGAAGAGGTTTTCAATAATTTTAGACAGACATGTGGTCAAGTTGTTTCGGTCGATTCAAGCAAACTTGATTGTCAAAGTGGAAGGTTAATTGCATTGTGTTATCTATGCTCTCATGTCATTGCTGCATGCAGGTCCAATAAGTCGACATTTATAAATATATGGATTCTATTGGAGATGAAAATTATAGGAAGAGTGTAAGTATGTGACATCATTGATCTTTTTTTATCTTAAGGCTCTGAGATGAGGTGTCAAACTTTAAATTTGACACCGGTATCAAATGATCCTACCCTATATATATATATATATATACATATATATATATATATATATATATATAAACAATTCTGCAAGGGCAATTCACAAAACTCAACGCGGCTCACCGGAAAATAACTTTAATGGCATATCAGGGGGCAAAAAATACCATTAAGGCACCTCTAAATGGTCAAACAACTTTTAATATGCGTAAGGTTGTGAGAGTCACAATAAAAATCTACCTATCTTTAAAATGCTTTTATGTATGTGAATAACTGATTTGAGTAATTGTAAAATGACACCATAGACCACACTGAAGGAAAAATTTCTTGTAGAGTAACCAATCATATTTATACAGAAGGAAAGTGATCTAAGAAGATAAAAAAAAAAAGAGTGTGCAACAACCCTAGTATATAATGATGTTAGATTTGTGAGATACGTTTAAGAGCAACAGTTGAACAGCCAATTTCATCTATGAGCATAAGAATAGGATTGGTCATTTTGGGTTAGTTTAGTCATATATGAATAATGAGAGGGTTTCAATATTTCACAAGTAGGAAAGTAGGAAAGTTTAACAAATCTGATTAATCTGATGGGAAAATTGAAATGTTAATGGTCAAAGGATGAAGAAAGTAGGAAAGTTTCACAAGTAGTTGAATCAAATTTACATGCATATATTTCAATGGTAGTAATAATAATAAAAAAAAAGTTGCATGTATAAATGATTTCGAATAATTAAAAAAATTATTTTATAATCATATATTTGTGTTGGAAATCGACAATCACACAGAATCGAGAAAACAGAAAAAGAGATAAGAGTAGAGAGATTGACACGATGATTTACCCTGGTTCACCCAATATAGGCTACGTCCAGCTTGTCTGTACTATATTCACCTCACCGCCACTCGTTACAAGTCTCTCGGTTTACAAGGCAAATATAAATAGGATTACAAGAAACCCTAACAGCAGCTATTCATGGGTCCAAGCCCAAACTGCTAAGAAAATTACAATAGAAACAGAGGCCTAAACATTACCTAGCCTCTACGGGCCTGGGGGCGCTGCCCCCCGGACCCCCGCCCGCTCACCTGGGAGCGGGACCCCAGTTGCCTTTCTGCTGACCCCGACAATTAGGGCCAACATCATAATGTGAAGTATGAGCCATACCCAACAATTTGTGTAATTGTATTATTCATTAAGGACATGAATATGAAAACCTGTATCTTCTGATATGGAAAACAAACAACAAAGGACACACCTAAGTTTGAATCACCCACCCAAGACCCAACCCAACAACAAACACACCCATCCAAAAGCAATAAAATAGTATAGAATTATCAAATGGTGGTAGCTCAGTTGATAGTAAGGAAGTTGAGTAAGTGGAAAGAAAAAGATCTCGGTTCGATTATCACATGCCACCTTTGAGAGGGGTTTAAATATCTTCATCGCTGACCCGCTATGCAATCCAGATTAGTTTCATAGTCGGCTCAAAGAGTCCAAGCTTGTGGGGATATGGGGGGAGCCAACTCGTCTCAAAGAGGTCATTAAGATTGAGTTAACTCTAAAAAAAATAGTATAGACTTAGAAATATTATGAATGGTATATTTACAACCTATTTTCGTTTACAACCTCTTACAACAACATCTTAACTATCGATTTCCGTCAATCTAACACTTATAATTTATTGGGTCATATTTACTAATTAATTATTAATTCTCAATAAATCATAGCTGTCAGATTGACGAAAATTAACGGTTAACTTGTGGTTATAAGAAATTGTAAACGAAAATAGGTACTAATATATTTTATCTCTAGAAACAAATAATAAATTGACATTATATCCTGGTGAAATGACCACACTGTCCTCCGTGCTCTTGTCTTTATGACCAAACCCCCCCTGCCTTCCTATACAGAGGTGGCAGCAACACCTGGTGGTTAAAGCTCACGTGGATGCAAGAACACACGTAACCCATGTTTCATGAAGAGAGTGAGAGACATCTTTTGCTCCACTCGGTGACCGGGAACCGGAGATAGCCGGTAACGAAGAAGCACAGCCGCAGCCACAGATTTCATTTGAAGGTAAGCCAAGTCCTTCCCTAAACAAGTCCTCGGTCCAGCATTAAAAGCAATGAACTTGAACCCATCCTTTGGCGGTTCGAACCGGAACCGGTCTCCCTGAACTGAAATCCACCTTTCCGGTTTAAACTCCATGCAATCCTCACCCCACACACTCTTCATCCTCCCCACAGAGTATATCGAATACGCCACCGTCGAACCCGCCGGAACTACTGTCCCGTCCGGCAACACATCATCGGAGACAGCATACTTGAAATCCTCCGGCACGGAAGGATACAAACGCATCGTCTCAGCCAAAGCAGCTTTCAGATAAACAAGCCTCTCAACTTCCTCGAAGTCCACCACTTCCTCCACCCACCTTCGCCGTTCTCCGCCGCGAGTCTCAGCCAAAACTGCCGTCAACTCGTCCAAAATCCTCTCCTCCACGTGAGAGTGGTTCATTACAAGCCAAAAAAACCAGCTGAGCGCCACTGATGACGTGTCCCTTCCGGCGAGCAAAAAGTTCAACGCGAAGCGTTGAAGCACGGCGTCGCTGAAGGGTTTTCCGTCACCGTCGCGCTTCTTTATAAACCGTGATAACAAGTCATCAGAGGGAGCTTCATATCTAGCTGAAATGGCATTATTCATGTAACTATCGATAACCTTCAAACACTGCTTCAGCTTCTTCTCTGAACCAATGTTTAGAACCTTCTCGAACCTCCAAACTATTTCAGGGTATAATAATCTATGCAAGGTGGCTTCAGTGGCAGCATCAAAAGCAACGAAGAACGAGTTTTCAGGTAGTTCAGGTGATAAAGTTTCAGGGTCTTTACCGAAGGTGAGTCCACAAATGTTATCAAAAGTTAAACGGAGAAGAATATCTTGCAAATCAATTGAAACCTTTTCCATTTTGGCTTTGTCTAGAATGCACCATAATCGGTTCTTAATCGTTCCGTTCACCCATCGAGCCATGGCTTGTCTTAGGGTTCGTGATGTGAACTCAAGTGCTGCGGTTTTGCGTTGCATGAGCCATGTTTCGCCGTCGCTGTTGAAGATTCCTTGACCTAATAGGTCGTGAAACGCGGCTTGCCATTTCGGTCCTTTTGGGTAGTTGTCGAACCGGGTTTGGAGGATGTGCTCGATGTTCTTTGGGTGGCTTGTGATTGTGGAGAACCCTTGCGTGCGAGCCAGGAAAGGGAAAGGGAGCTTGCATGTTTGGTAGGTTAGTGAGCTACCGGTTTGGTTTAGGTTTGTGGCAATCCAGTCATGAACCCGGTTACGATTCTTGAAGAGAGCCGGGAGGCTGCCAACGAATGGCCACACTTTTGGACCGGTTAGGGATCGAGCTAGGTGGTGGAACCATAGGAAATAAGCAAATAGTGAAGCTGCTAGGGTTAAGAGAAGAGGGAGTGTATCCATTTGCATGATCATGGTTACTATGACACTTTTAATTAGAAGTCGGGGAAGATTGGTGTGAGAATAAGGATATATATATATATATATATATATATATATATATTTCAAACGTTTACTTTTTGCATGAGGAAGTTGGAAATGAATTTATGGATATGATGACTAGATTTATAGTAGTTTACTTATTAGTTTAGTTACTTCACTTATTCTTTGGTTTTCTTTCTCGAGTTCATGTTAGTTTCATATTTATGTAAAATATATATGTTTTAGTGGTTATTAGGACTAAATAAAAAAATAGGAAAGAAA